TGTAAGACAGATGTAAGACAGAAGATAAGAAATAAAACCCACAAAAATGAAGGGGCCACCTCCTAATTAAGGTTTCTTGGGGTCCAACAGTCTGGGGCTTGTCAGAATAGCCTCTTCAAGGTGAATGACAAGTTACTGTCCTTGAAATATATACTACTAAAAGAGGGGTCACAAAGCTTAACAAGCCTTTGTGGATTTTGCACCAGTACTACAAGTCATTTACTAAGTAACGTATTAGGCTACCATTTTTAAGTTGGTATCACAGCGAAAGAAGGTTCTGCAACAAGTCCAGGCTTGTAGTATAAGCTGCTCTGCCACTTGGGCCTTATAACCCAGTATTATCAATTGTCTGGAACTACTGCTAAGCCTCAACAGTAAAATCATAGCACAAATTTTTAGGGGTTTAGAACAAAAACATGCTATGTTCTAAAGATCATTATTCTTTTCAGAAACAGATCCTGGATTGCTACTGAGTTTTGATAGAGATTAAATGTCTAATCATCCATGATGAACTGAATGACTAAAAGACTGAAGGAAGAAGGGTCCTGTTCTTTCCTGTTTGCAGCAAAGGTTTTCTGCCTTAGGCATGGCAGTTGACTCCATAATATCAGTTGGTTCCACCAAAGATTTTTCTCCAGCCATAGAACCGTCTTCATTAGACCTCCTCTTAAACACCATCACCCACTGGCCTTCTTCCTCGATGTCTGAACAAAAAGCCATAGGATTCCTCCTCCAAGATCTTTAGGCAAGAACACCAGCTGGGCAGTGACCTTCTTATGAATTCTGTAGGGCTCCCTCCAATCTTCTAAATTGTAATAATCCACCCTCATTACTTTCTGACCCCAGCCCTCTGCATGGTAGATGCTTCCTGCAGTGCTTGCTTCCTCTGCAAGACTTTTGTGCCTTTTCAGTCTTCAGTAAAATAATTGCTGTGGTTTCTGTTTTTGACTAGATTCAAACTGATGTATCTATTGCATTTCAGCCCACTCGCTTGTAAAGTCTATAAGGCAGAAACCATAATTACTTTGTTCATCCAGCAATTAAACACTGAGAACGAATAAATCTTCTCAACAAATCTACAAGGTAAGCACTTGTATTGTGGACATTTTACAGATGAGGAAGCTGAGACAGAATAAGTAACAAGACCAAAGGCAAGTAAGTAGTGGAATTGGGATTTGGTTCTGGGCAGTTTTGGCCAGTAACCAATGTTCTTAACCACTATACATACTGCCAAGTTTACTGTAAGAGACTTGTTACCAAAAACTCTACAAATAAAAGTTGTGACTTTGTTGTGTTCTTGCTGTCCGGGTGTTTAACAGTTTATGTTAAACAAATAAGTTAAATATATATGCATTTTTTTTTTTTAAAAGATGACCAGTAAGGGGATCTTAACCCTTGACTTGGTGTTATCAGCACCACACTCTCCCAAGTGAGCCATGGGCCGGCCCTCCTAAATATATATGCATTTTAAAAGGGAAAAATTAACGGGAATTAGAATCAAACAAGAAATGAGTCACATAGTTAGTTGGACTTTCACAGTGCAGCAAGCAACAGGTAGAACTATAGGCACAGCAAGAAAGGAATATAAACTTTTTAATCTATTTTAATTAACACAACAAAAATGATAGCAAACATAAATGTTTATGATGTACCAGGTTCTAGTCTAACTATTTTACTAGCTCATTTAATCCTCACAAATGTCTTATGAGGCCAATTCCTATTTTATTGATGAAAAACCTGAGGCATAAAAAAAAGTAAGGAGCTCAAAGTCACACAGCTAGTAAGGAGATTTCAGCCTAGGCAGTCTAGCTTTAGGATCTATGCTTTAAACTACTATGCTACACAAATAGTAAGTTTATATCATTCACTATAAGTCACTGACACTGTTTGAGTTCGCAATTTCCAGAATACAGACTACCTTTGTAATTCTTGCTTTTGACAATGACCATGATTTTTTGTTGAAGATTACTTAGCATAAAGCCACAATATTTTTAAAACAATAAATAGCTCTCAGATGAAAATCTATATTGTATGTCTTTAAAACTCAACACAATATAAATTGCTAAGATATACAAAAGTTATTTTAGGCCATGATAAATCAGTGTTAACACATCTCAAATGTTCAGAAATGATAATTAGGGATGAAAAGAGAAAAGTTCAGATTTTAATTGCCATAAACAGGGCATTCAAATCAATACAATAGATTTTTCTATTTGTATTAAATTTCAATCTAACAGAAACCTATACTATTACCATTTTATTATAGCAGCTGAGTAAGACTCAAAACCATACCTGGAAAACCTAAGACATTATAAATTTTTTTAAAAAATGCAGACATATTCAAAGATTAGGATTTATATTATACCTCTCAAGGCATTTGACTACATTTTAGGCTTTGTGGAAATATTTGGAAGTGCAATCAAAAAAAGAAATTAGCTGTTTCATGGTATTTTAATATCTTAGTCCCATACTTCATTGGTACATGCTATTATTCTTAAGATTCAGAGACACAGCCACTCTCCTTTCAAACTATTACAGGCATATTTCTTATTATGCTCTCTAATATACTGAGTTGCTATTAAGCTTTAGATATAAACTCATTTATTTAGTGAAAGCCGCTATAATGTATAGCATTCCTTACAAGAAGAAAAGCATATTACTCTAGCTAATTGAATAATACATGTTTTATGTAATAGTTACCACATTATATTTCATATTAAATACCCTATTTTTGAAAACTGAAACCCTATTACATAAATAATGTACCTACACTGATGTAACTTGCATATTCCTATCTGAAAATCACTTTAAACAGTGACATTCTGATATGTTTTAAAGATGCACTAGAATGAAAAGTAATTCCATTTTTTAGAAAATCTATGTCAGAAGACATAAATAGGTTAAATTTTAAAAGAACAAAATATATTTAAAACATACTAAGAATAAAAGTAAAACTGAGATGACAAACTACTAAACTGAATTACATTTTTCTGTATTTAATTACTATGGACAACTGCAAGAAAAAATATCATATTTTACTATTTACTATCTAGAGAAATGGGCATTCTATTTTCAGCTCAATGACGCTTTGGGGTGCTGCTAAGAACTAAGACCTATAAGAGGCAAAACTAAATGATTTTTCAAAACTCAATGAAACAATCAAGAAAAACACATAACAGCCTATACTCCTTAACCAAATATTCTAAAGATAGTATTAGGCAAAACAGAAGATCTCGTAATGAAGTAATTTTACAAATTTTATTCCTCTTTAAAGTCTTATTTTCCAAAGAACCATATTCATCTGTGTATTCCTCAGCCTCCACTATTTTAGAAGTGAGGTGGTCTTCCTTAAAGCACATCCAGAAGAATATATCAAGCCTACACCCAGCTTGCAAGATTATTGATGTATAGGTTCCACACTTAACTGTCAACCTAAAATATCTGTACACCAGACAGTTTGTCAGGAAAGACAGTCTTGAATTTACTACTTATCAATATTTTCAAACACTTAGATAAGAGAAATAATATTTTTGGAGACTTAAAAAAATCATTCATGGGGCCGGGCCGGTGGCACACTGGATAGTGCGCCGCTTGGGAAGCGCGGCGGCGCTCCCGCCCGAGGGTTCGGATCCCACATACAGACCGGTTCCCGCTCACTGGCTGAGCGAGGTGCGGGAGCAACACCGGGGGTTGCGATCCCGTTGCCGGTCCCGGTCCGGTACGGGGGCAACACTGAGGGTTGCGATCCGTTGCCGGACACGGAAAAAGACAAAAAACAAAACAAAACAAAACAAACAAACAAACAAACAAAAAAATCATTCATACATGAGTGTATGTGGATGTGTGTGTGCATTCCCCCTATTCCGAAAAAAGAGTGTAAAATTTATCTATCCTTGGATTAAGATCAGACCAATACAGAGCTAAATACCTATTGGGGAGGACAAGATAATTGTTTTAATAATTTTTTGCCATCAGTTCCCAAAGACAAATTAAGTCACAAACATTTAAGAATATAAAATACCCCATTTTTTGAACACTAACACCCATATGCCTTATTAAACCCCTTTTTTTTACTTAGGATACACCACACCGCACAGTATCTTTTCTTGAGAATGTGTAGTCTCTTACACTATTTTCATCTATAGAGTCTGGACTCCTAACTGATAACACAACGTTTGTTCCATTAGCTACAAAAAACCATATCTGTGTTTTACCTTTGACAAGTAAAAATAATTTCATGGCATGCACTGGTAAACTTTAATCTTTTTGCTAGCATTATTTCTCTTCCTAATTTCCTTGATTAAGTATTTATTATTTTGTTGCAATGTATTTACTTTGATAAGATGCCTTAAAAATTTGTAGAACAAAGTTAAATAAAACAACGCTTTGGAAAAACAATAAAAATATTCATGCTAGAGCATTTTTAATTCTAAAACAGTAACCAATAAAGTCATGAAAGGAATAAGTGAAAAAATTAACACTTAATGAACATTATGAAAAATCTTAACGAAATTCAACAATTAAAACCTTACCCTAATAAAGTATGGATAAATGTTTGCTATGCAAATGCAAACATGAGGCAGTTTTCTTCAAAATAAAAAACTTATTTCAATACATTTAACTATAATACCAATGATCATACCTTACATTTATAATTCGACAGGATTATTTTTGAGTAAAACCTATTCTCACATTTATAGTTTAGCAAAGTTCACTTTTATATTAACTATATTCTTTTAAAAAAAGAATTTAAGATTAAAATTAGTAAAGTTTAAAGAATGCTACAAAATGTTAGCTATCATAGGTCAAAGGCATGCGTAATTTGCGAAAATGAAATAGATGTATAAGTAAATATGTAAAGTATACTGTAAAATAAAGTATTTTACTTTCTTTTTTTAAAGTATTATAAAGCATATGTAAAATGTCCTGTAAACAGCTAAGCTTCATACAAATAGTATTATTACATGCAAAAATAGTGGGAGAACAAAATGCACACTTACCCTTCTCCTCCCATCCTTGTTATCTTTAGGCGAAAGTCCACAGAATTCAGACTAGGAGGCTTCCATTTCAAAATATCATCACATCGACCAGGTTTATATTTCTAAAGTGAATTAAATGATGACAATAGTTAATATGAAGCTAAAAAATTAAAAATTCAATTTATTAAATATAACATTACTTTTATTAAGCAAAATTACTACTTTTCTGAACATAATTTTTATCTTCAACCAACAAATGAGGCTAGATGTCTACCAGCTTCTTATTGATAGCCTTTCTCCTTTTCCTACCAAAGACATGTAGACCCTTATTTGTGACAAATCCAGAAAGAAAAAAAAAACCAGTTATTCTATCCAATATTTCTATAACTTTAAAGGAAACTTGATAATAAAAAAATTGGTTTTTCTTGTTCAGCTTTACTGAGGGATAATTTACAATGAATATAATTAAACGATGGATTTTGACAAACATATACAACCATGTAACTATCACCAAAATCATGATACGGACCCTTTTTAATGACCAAAAAAAGTTTTCTCCTGACATTTGCAGTCAATACCCTCCCCCAACTCTCCAGCAATGGTGATCTGCTTTCTATTGCTATAGTTGTACCTTTTCTAGAATACATAAGAAATACTTAGCATAAAGTTTTTGAGATGTATCTATGTTGCTGCATGTATTAGTAGTTTGTTCCTTTTTATTGCTGAGTAGGATTCCATTGTATATACATACCGTAAATTGTTTATGCATTTACAAGTTGATGGATATCTGGGTTATTTCCAGTCTGGGGCTATCATAAATGATGCTGCTCTGAACAATTGTGTGGACATGTTTTCATACTTCTTAAATAAACACCTAGAAGAGTGGAATGGTTGTGTCTCATGGTAAATGGATGTTTAACTTTGTAAGAAATTGTCAAACTGCTTTCCAAAGTGGCTGTAACATTTTCCAATCACCCAGCAACGTATGACAGGTCCATTTGTTCCACATCCACCCTAGAGCAAGGCATTGTCAGTCTTCTTAATTTTAGCCATTCTAAAGTGTGTGTCTCATAAAGGTAATTTGCATTTCTCTAATGACAAAACATGTTGAAGAATTTTTTCATTTGTTTATTTGCTATCTCTATACCTTCTTGGTGAAATGTCTGTTCAAATCTTTTACTCCTGTTTTTACTGAGCTGTTTGTCTCATTACTGACTTTTGAAAGTGTTTATATATTCTGGACAAATAGCCTTAGTTGGATATATGTACTGCAAATATTTTCTACCAGTCTTTGGCTTTCCTTTCCATTTTCTTAACAATTTTAAACAACAAAGTTTTTTATTTTAATAAAGTAGAAATTATCCATTTTTATATTATATAATTTGTGCTTTTTGTGTCCTCTTTAAGTGATTTTTTCCTAATCTAAATCTAAACATTTTCTACCATGTTTTCTTAGAGAAATTTTATAGTGTTAGTTCTTATTTTTATACATTATGATCCATTTCAGGTTTATTTATTTATGTGATATGAAGTAAAAGACCAGGTTCACTGGCAAATAGATATCAAATTGATCCAGCACCATTTGTTGAAAAGATTACCCCTTCCTGATTGAATTGCCCTGGCATCTTTGTCAAAAATCAATTGTGTATAGATATAGATATATTTCTATTCTCACTAATTTGTCACACTGACATATATGGAAAAATCCTGTTAACAGCACACTGTCTCAATTACTATTGCTTTATAAGTTTTCAAAACAGATTGTGTTGTACTCTAAAACTTTATTCTTTTCAAACACTTTTAGCTAATGTAGCATTTACATTTCCACATAAAGTTTAACATCAGCTTGTCAATTTCTTTTTTTTTTTTTCCTTTTTGTCTTTTTTCGTGTCCGGCAACGGATCGCAACCCTCAGTGTCGCGCCCGTACCGGACCGGGACCGGCAACGGGATCACAACCTTCGGTGTTGCGTCCGCACCTCGCTCAGCCAGTGAGCGGGAACCGGTCTGTATGTGGGATACGAACCCTCGGGCGGGAGCGCCGCCGCACCCCCAAGCGGCGCACTGTAGCAGTGCGCCACCAGGCCAGCCCCAGCTTGTCAATTTCTATAAAAAATAAAGCTGCTGGGATTTTAATTAGGATTGCATTGAATCAACAGATTAGGAGAGCGATGACATCTTAATGAATCTCTCCATTTATTAAGGTCTCCTTAAATTAATCTCAGCAATCCTCTATAATTTTCAGTATACAGGTCTTGCACAACTTTTGTTAAATTTATTCCTAATAATTTAATATTTTTGCTGATATTATCAACACAAACATTCAGCCTTGTTTCCAAACACCAGCAGTGGCATTACAAAAACACAAAATTTCAAAAATTAAGGAAATTAATAAAAGCATGTAAAAAACACAAAACAGCTAGGAATAAATTTAACCAAGGATGTGAATGATCTGCATACTGAAAACTATAAAACATTAAAGATGACCTAAAAACAGAGAAACATCACATGTTCATGAATACAAAGAACACAAAAAATTCATCTTAATACTATTAAGATGTCAATACCACTCAGAGCAATCTACATTTTCAACTTAATCTCTATAAAAATTCCAAAAGCCTTACAGAAATAGAAAAGCCAAGCCTCTAATTCATATGGAATTTCAAGGGGCCCTGAAGAGCCAAAACACTTTTGAAAAAGGAACAAAGTTGTAAGACTCACACTTTCCACTTTCAAAACTTAACTACACAGCTATAGTGCTCAAAACAGTGCTATGCTGGCATAAGGACAGACATATAAACCAATGGAATAGAATTAAGAGTACAGGGGCCAGCCCATGGCTCACTTGGGAGAGGGTGGTACTGACAACACCAAGTCAAGGGTTAAGATCCCCTTACTGGTCATCTTTAAAAAAAAAAAAGAAAGAAAGAATTAAGAGTACATAAATAAACTTAGACATCTACAGCCAATTTATTTTTTACAAGGGTGCCAAGTCCATTCTGTGGGGAAAGAATACTCTCTTCAAGAAATAGTGCTAAGACCGCTGGATTTCCACAAGCAAAACAATGCAGTTGGATGCCTACCTCACACCATATACAAAAATTGACTAAAAATGGATCAACAATCTAAATATAACAGCTAAAACTATTAAAGTCTTAGCATAAAACAGGAGTAAGTCTTCATGACTTTGGGTTTAGCAATGGATTTTTATATTTGACTCCAAAAGCATGAGCAACAAGAGAAAAAATAAATAAGTTGAACTTCATCAAAATTAAAAACCTTGGCGTATCACAGGTCATTATCAAGGAAGTAAAATGATAACATACAGAATGGGAGAAAATGTTTGCAAATTATATATCTGATAAGGGTTTAGTATCCAGAATATATAAAGAACTTCTTCAACTTAACAACAAAAAGACAAACAACCCAATTTAAAAAGTCAAAAGACTTGAATAAGCATTTCTCCAAAAAGATATAATGATAAATAAGCACATGAAAAGATGCTCACTATCATTAGCCATTAGGGAAATACCGATAAAAATGAAAATGAGACACCACTTCACACCTACTAGAATGGCATAAACAAAAACAGAAAATAACAAGTGTTGGTGGGGATGTGAAGAAATCAGAACCTGCATATATTAACAGTAGAAATGTAAAATGGAGCAGCTGCCATGAATAACAACTTGACAGTTCCTCACAAAACTAAACACAGAATTACCATATGACCCAGAAGTTCCACCCCTACAAACATACTCCAAAAAACTTAAAACAGCTATTCAAACAAACATTTGTATGTCAATATTAATTGCAGGATTATTCACAAAAGGCAAAAGGTGGAAACAACCCAAGTTTCCATCAACAGATGAATGGATAAACAAAAGGTGGTATACACAATGAAATATTATTCAGCTATAAAAAGAAATGAATTTCTGATACATGCTACAAAATGGATAAACCTTAAAAACATTAGGCTAAGTGAAATAAGCCAGACACAATATGACAAATACCATATGATTCCAATTATATGAAATATCTAGAACAGGCAAAATCATAGTGACAGAAAGTAGACTACAGATCACCAGAGGCTAGATGGTGGAAGGAAAGGGAAGTTATCGCTTAGCGGTTACAGAATTTCTGTTTGAGGTGTAAAGTTTTGAAAATACATGGTGGAGATGATTGTACAACATTATCTATGTAATTAAAGAGACTGTGGGGTAAAAAATTTAAATAAGTGTTTTGTGAGTATTTATTGTGTTTTTACCATTACAGGTTCCTAATATACATAATATGTAAATATGAATAAATCATACTAATCAATATATTTATATGTTCACATTATACATGTACCCTAATTGGAATGCATTTTATTTAACACAATCAAAATTTACTTGAATTTCTTTATTGTATATATTTAAGTTATACAGCATGATGCTTTGATAAGCATATATAAAGTGAAATGATTACTACAGTCAAGCAAATTAATGCACCCATATCCTCACACAGTCACCAAGTGTATGTGTAAGAGTATCTGAAACCTACTCTCTTAGTAAATTTCCAGTACACAAGACAACGTTATTACAAAAGACAATATAGCTGTTGTGCTGTACCCTAGACCTCCAGATTTATTCACCATACATAACTGTAATTTTGTGCCCATTGACCTAATATCCACCCACTCCCCACCCCTTGTAACCACTGTTCTATACTGTTTCTATATATTTGATTTTTCAGATTCCACATATAAGTGAGACCGTGCACTATTTTTCTTTCTGTGTCTAGTTTATTTTGCTTAGCACAATATCCTCCAGCTCATTCCATGGCAGGATCTCCTTCTTTTTAGAGTCTGAAAAACACTCCATTGTATGTATATACAACAATTTTTTAAATCCATTCATCCTCTGAAAAACATTTAGATGGTTTCCATATCTGGGTTATTGTGAATAATGCTGCAATGAACAGGGGAGTACATGTATCTCTAAAAGGTACTAATTTCATTTCCTTTGGTATATACCCAGAAGTGGGACTGCTGGATCATATAGTAGTTCTACCTTTAATTTTTTGAGGAACCTCCGTACTGTTTTCCATAATGGCTGTACCAATTTACATTCCCACCAACAGTG